TCTTGAACTCTCTTACGCAAGATATTGCTGCCAGTGTTATCAGTTCCTCTATTGCTGCAGAGGTCTCGAACAATTTGAAGATTAGATTTACGTGAGGTAATGGCACAAGTCTTTTTCAACTCAAGAAAGATCTTTCATCCTTAGTTCAAGATCAAAGCTCTGTTGGTGTGTACTACACAAAACACAAAGCATTATGGGACGAATTCTCAAATGTTAAGTTGATTCCAAGTTGTACTTGTCAGCCGGGTTGTTCGTGTAGAGCTTTGAAGAAAGTAATTGATCAACATAATGATGAATATGTTGTTCAATTTCTAATTGGTCTTAATGATTCTTTTACACCCATTCGTGGTTAAATTCTCTTAATGGATCCAATTCTATCCATTGACAGAGTCCTATCTCTTACTCTCCAAGAAGAGAAACCGAGGAAAGTCGTTGGGTCTTCAATCTTGTCTGAATCTGCTGCTTTGTTTAGCAAAAATGTGGCACCAGCATCAACTTCTTCAAATAATGTCAAGAACCATCAAAAATCAAGACCACGACTAATTTGTACATATTGTGGTCTCGCTGGACATACGGTTGATAAGTGCTACAAATTGCATGGATATCCTCCAGGGTATTGACAAAATGCAAAGATAAGTACACCTTCTGTCGATCAAGTTTCAGTATCTTCGAATGACTTTGATGAAGCATCCAATGGTCAAAACTCCACTCCTCAATTTCCTTTTACTCAGGAACAATGCAATCAACTTCTATCATTTCTTCAAAACCCCCCACAACAACCAACAGTAATGAATGTTGTAGAAAATTCTTTGAGTCTATCAGGTATAGTGAATCCTCCTGATCACGTCTTTAAAATGTCAAATTCTTGGATAGTTGATAGTGGTGCTACTGATCATATGGTCAGCTCGCTTTCGTATTTTACTCCAACTATCTCCGTTGCAAACACTTCAGTAAAATTGCCTAATGGCATCTGTGTTCTAGTAACACACATTAGGACTGTCAAATTATCAGAATCTTTAATTCTTGATAATGTTCTATACGTACCTTCTTTCTCTTTTAATCTCATATCAATCAAAAAGCTTACTGATAAATCATGTTGTTTTGTTTTTCTTGCTAATTTTTGCTTCATACAGGACCAACACTCTTGGAAGACGATTGGAGTGGCTAAACAAGTGGCTGGGTTATATCCGTTCCAGAGATCTGATATACACTCTGCTGCTAATTCTAGAAAAATTTCTGTTGTTAATTCTACTGTAAACAGTTCTTCCTTTGATCTATGACATTTTAGGTTAGGTCATCCTTCTTTAAAAATGATTCAACTAATTCAGAAATCTTTTCCTGATGTTACTACTTCTTCCGCTTTTGATTGTAATACCTGTCCATTGGCAAAACATAAAAGATTGCCTTTTAATACCAATGATTCTATGAGCAATAAAATTTTCGAGTTGATTTATGTTGACATTTGGGGTCCTTTTTCTGTTGAGTCTATCACTGGTTTCCGATATTTCATTTCAATTGTTGATGATTACTCACGATGTACTTGGGTATATCTAATGAAAAATAAATCTGACACTCGATTTCTTCTCCAATCCTTTTTTAATCTCATTGACACTCAGTTTGACACTCATGTCAAAGTCATTAAAAATGATAGAGAAATGAATTTCATATGACAGAATTTTATGCTTCTAAAGGAATAATTTATCAACAAACTTGTAGAGCTACACCTCAACAAAATGGTGTAGTTGAACGTAAACATCAACATCTACTCAATGTGGCACGGTCTCTCAGATTTCATGCCAATCTACCTCTCAAATTCTGGAGTGAATGTATTTTGATAGCAACTCATTTGATTAATAGAACTCCTTCACCTCTGTTATCAAATAAAACACCATATGAAATTTTGTTTTCGAAGCCACCAAATTACTCAAATCTTAGAGTTTTTCGTTGCTTATGTTTGCCATCTACTCTATCTCATAATCGCTCAAAGTTTGCACCTAGAGCTCATCCTTGTGTGTTCATTGGTTATCCATATTGCACAAAAGGATATAAACTCTATAATTTGGAAACTAATGTTATATTTCTGTCCAGAGATGTTTCATTTCGAGAATTTGTTTTTCCTTTCAAAACAGGTTATGATCTTCCTACAAAATCAATTGTTCCACCTATACCACAGACTGATAATGTTACCTTTGATTATCCTCAAACTCAAGACCTTTTACATTCAATTCCAGAAAATATTGAGCCCTTTTCTGATTTACATTCAATTCCAGAAACTATTGAGTCCGTTTCTGATTCTCTTCCAATTTCACTTCTAGAAAATTCATCATCAAATCCTGAGATGATTCCTTCTCAATCATCCATTAGAAAGTCTGCTAGAATACATAAGCAGCCATCTTATCTGGCAGAATATCATTGCAGCTTAGCCAAAATTGCAGATGCTACTTCATCGTCTAACTCGAATGAAGGTCCACCCTTAGGTATTCCATATCCACTTTCTTCTTTTATATCATATTCAAATTTGTCCGCCTCACATAGAGCCTTTACACTTGCTATATCCTCATATAAAGAACCAAATTCTTTTAAAGAAGCCATTCAACACAGTCAGTGGTGTGATGCCATGGCTGCTGAAATCAAAGCCTTAGAAGATAATAACACTTGGACAATAACTCATTTACCTTCTAACAAACATGCTATTGGATGTAAATGAGTTTACAAGGTAAAATACAACTCTAATGGATCTGTTGAAAGGTATAAAGCCCGATTAGTTTCTAAGGGCTATACAAAACAAGAGGGATTGGATTATATGGAGACTTTTTCACCAGTTGCAAAACTGGTCACTGTCAGGGTACTCTTAGCTATAGCTGCGTCTAAAAACTGGTCATTGCACCAATTAGATGTCAACAATGCATTTTTACATGGGGACTTAGAAGATGAAGTTTATATGTCCCTTCCACAAGGATTTCACTGTAAATCAGATGATGTTGCAACCAAGGGGGAGTTCATGCCCACTCTTAAATCCAAATCTGCAAATCAGCTCGTATGCAAATTAAACAAGTCTTTATATGGCCTAAAACAGGCATCAGGACAGTGGTTCTCTAAGTTCTCTAATGCTTTGTTGAGACATGGTTTTATTCAATCTTCAGCTGATCCAACTTTGTTCACAAGATAGAAAAATAACTCTTTCATTGCTTTGTTAGTGTATGTTGATGACATTATCATCACCAGCAATGATAATTCAGCAATAAGTGATTTAAAGTTCTTTCTTCATTCTCAATTCAAGCTCAAAGATCTTGGAGCTTTAAAGTACTTCCTTGGTCTTGAAATTGCAAGATCAACGAAAGGGATAGCTGTTTCACAAAGAAAATATGCATTGGAGATATTATCTGATGCAGGCTACCTGGCTTCTAAACCCGTCTCATTTCCAATGGATCAGAATCTCAGACTCTCAAAAATAAAAGGAACACCACTTGAAGATCCACTCTGTTACAGAAGATTAGTGGGCAGACTTCTTTATTTAACTATGGCGAGACCAGATTTGTCATTTGCAGTTTAGATATTGATTCAATATGTAGCAGCACCTACTGGTGTTCATCTGGCAGCAGCTCATCGAGTGTTGAGATACATCAAACACAAAGCTAGCCAAGGGATATTTTTCCCTTCTTCAAGTGATTTACAGCTCAAAGCTTTTTGTGATGCAGACTGGGCTACCTGTAAGGACACCAGGAAGTCAATTACTGGTTTTTGCATTTTCCTTGGACAATCATTTGTTTCATGGAAATCCAAGAAACAGAACACGGTGTCAAGATCCATAGCAGAAGCTGAATATCGGGCAATGGCAACTACTAGGTGTGAAATCACATGGCTGCGGCACTTGATCAAAGATTTATCTATTCCTCAAACTAAACCGACCCTGCTTTTCTGTGACAATGAAGCTGCTGTCCAAATATCTTCCAATCCTGTTTTTCACGAACGTACCAAACATATTGACATAGATTGTCACATTGTTCGGGAAAAACTCTTGGCAGGGACCATCAAGACAATGCATATTTCCTCCACAAATCAAGTAGCAGATATACTAACTAAGCCCCTAGGCTTCAATTCTTTTTCCAGTATTCTCTCCAAGATGGGTGTCATTAACATTTACACTCCATCTTGAGGGGGAGTATTAAGATATTAAGTCACGTGTGGTTCAGTTAAGTTAGTTAAAATCTGTTGTTAATAACAACTTTTTAGTTGGTTAGTCAGTTAGTTGGATTGTATATAAATAGATGTGGACAGATTGTAAATGTCAAGTAAATTCATTCAGTAATAGAAGTTCAAATCATTTTTCTTCATAATCTGATATTCAGATATTCTGAAAAACCGGAATGAGGATGCTAAGACAAAAAGAAAGGTTCTGTGTGAGGCGACAAATTTCCGACGGTATCCTAATGCAATGGAAAGTAGAGGAAAACGGCTTTGTCCTTAGTAGGGCAAACCATAGCAATGGATTCATCCAAGTTAATAACATCATTTTTGTGGGGGTAAGGCTATTCTGGATGCGAAACATACTTCCATTAATCCTATTGAGTACTGAATAGAATCAAAGATTAAACTACTATCAAAGATTTGCTCTAAAATTAATTTTCCGTAACTATTTCTCTAGACACCATCAGGGCCTCTGGAGACATTGGTAATAATGTAACCTTTTAGAGGTAGCTTAAGAATTTCTTATTGATTTGCGAATATAAGCTATGAATAGGTATTGATAGTGATTTGTCTGAAAACGTCAATTTTGAAATCCGAGTTTCAGGCAAATTGGATAATTTGTTTGACCTTTAGTCAAGCCCTTATACTTTGCTTAGTTATTTCATTTTTTATCGACGTGAAATTTAGCTAGTATCAATACGAAAAAAATACAGATCTCCTTTTCTTAAGAAAGGAAGAGAATATGATACTGATTGAAAGAAAGAATACAATTAGCAAATCTGCCAAACAAGACACAAGTAAAAGCTATATACTCAGCACCCATTTTGCACCACCGGTACTGCCTCTGCCACCTTCTTCCGCTTCTTAGGTGCCCCATTTTCCAATGCTCCCGAATACAAAATCTGATCCGACGACATGGAAGTCCTCTTCGATGTAATGCGGACGGGCTCTGGCTCACCGGAATTTATCCTGTGCGGAAAATTCAGCAATGCACGCGAGCCCCGAATACGATAAGCCGCCCTGTCATAGGCCAATGCAGCGTCCTCTGCTGTCTCATAAGTCCCTAAC